GCGAGGGCGTGGGCGTGGGCGAGGGCGTGGGCGAGGGCGTGGGCAAGGGTGTGGGCGTGGGTGAGGGTGAGAGCATGGGCGAGAGCATGGACATAGGCGTGGGCGTGGGCGCGGGCGCGGGCGCGGGCGCGGGCGATGACTTGGGCGGGGGCGAGCGCGCGTACCTTGAGGCGCGGGCGGTGCCTGCGGCGCGCGTGGCTGATGAGGAAGCGCAGGCGCGCGCACTCGTCGAACGAGCACTGGTCAGTGACGGCGTACATGAGCACGAAGGCGTCCGCCCAGCGCAGCTGCGCCTCCAGCGACGACGGCTCCGCGCCTCCACCGCCGCCTCCGCCGCCGCCGCCAACGCCCTGCGCAAACGCAATCACTCACATTCTCTCAAGGGCTAAAGGCTACGTAAAACACAAACCATAATTAAAAATAAATTGCTAATGTTACATAAAATAAAAAGAAAAAAAACCAACAGTTTCTTTTCACATGTTTACAGCATACATTTTCATGACACTATTGATAATGAAAGTAAATAGATAATATTTAAACAACATTTTAACAAACAAAAACAATCCCTTAAACAAGCTCAAATTGCTCAAATATATTATTGGATTTTGGCATTGTTTCTAATTTTTACCACATCGTTAGAACTACTTGCATAATCTGCTACAAACAAGTGAATGAAAGCAACCTATGATCCGGTACCCATATGGTATTTCAGAATAAGTGTGTCTACGACATGAAGGGTAAAAAATGATCACTTTCTTCCAAATGAACATGTGATCAGAAATTTCATATGAAGGAGTGACGTGTAGGCAACATGTCATACATTGGTGTTTGGCACGTCAGGTTCTGTCGCAGCCGAAGAGATTTCTTATGGCCACCAAACAACAACGCATGAGAAAACTGCCTACCAATCAGGGGCAAATCATACGTGTAATTTCGTTCTAAGAAATTGCTTACCATATGTTCATCGGCAAAAAGAAATTATCTTTTACCCAATACATGTCATTGAAATTTGTATGATTTATTTTGATACACGCTGTATAATGTAATACAGTAAAATCTGTCTAAACAGGAACTTGTGTAAGCCGGAAACCTGCCTAAACAGGAAAATTTCTCTGGTCCGTGAAGTATTATGGTATTTTTACACAGCATAAAACGGAATCTGTGCAATTCGGAAACGTTTCAGTTTTTCATGTCCTATAAGGGAGAAATCTTTATAAAACGGAATTCCTGCAAAATTTAATGCGTTTGGCGGAGACGCGAGGTATTCTTAATGTAATGAATGCATCTGCAAGTCTGTTTTGCATTCTCTATCCTAATAAATTTAGCCGTGGCAACCGCACTGTGAAGGAGAGGGGCTTCAGCTGACAGCGTAGAGTTCGACCTTGGGGTCACTTGTCTCTCAAGGTGTAGGCCGCAGGGGTATTCCCTACCCACATCTTCCCTGAGCGTGGGAAGGTGTACGGGTATGGCTTCCATACGCGCCTCTCCCTGCCCCACGTTCAAAATCGTAACCACTCGACCAGAGACGCATTGCTGAAGGCCATGGGAGGATATCAAAATCATAGTACTCTGGGTTGTGACGCATTGTGCTTTGAAAGAGTCAGCAATCAGTTCGATTTCAGCCATTAGGCAGTGAGGTAGTGAGTATTTTTATGGGTTTCAGAATCAGTTTAACAGCGCGAAAACCATAATACTCCAACTTTCTCTAACATTAGATAAAAAGGTTAAACTTATGGAAATAAGAGAAACTCAGAAGCTGTTAATGGAGAATATTAAACATTCATTCATTAGTGATTTCCTCCATACATACGTTATATGTAAATATCTATTTTAATAATCATAATAAAACATGTAATTTTTATTTAAGACTTATTACTTATTTACTTACATTAAGTTACTAGTTCCAGAACGGAAATATCAATATCACAAGTATCGTTAAATGGACAACCGTGCATAAAATTGAAACCTCCCTACACCGGAACTTTTTTTTGCCCGATAGATTTCGGCTTAAACAGATTTTACTGTATTGAATGGAAACTGATAAAATAAAACAGTGAAAATGATCACTGCAATGCTTGTGACCGAGAGGTCCCCTGAATCGAATCTCGACGGTGGCAGGAATTTGTGACACTATTCGAATTCAGCCTCTGTCTGAAGGAGCATAGCTTCTTAAGGCTTCATTAAGGCGTCTCTCATTTATAGTTTTCTGTGGTTTCTCCGACGATTACCAGGCGAATGCCGGAGCAGTACTCTAACAAACGTGCCCTTAACCGCGCGCGATCTCTCTTTCCTCTTCCTTGTCCTATTATCACCCGTTACTTACACACACTTCCACTTCCACACATGCTAGGAGAGCAGTCGGGAGCTTAGTGCTTGTCCCGGCTGGGGCGGCGTACCACTGGTGGGAGATACCTGAATGGGGGAAAATCCCGCAAGCCGACGAGAGGGTCGGCTGCGCAACCCATCACTTAGCGGGGGAAGATCATTGCGAACGGCAGCGATAAAACAAACACTACACTTACGGGACAACGGACCTCAGACGTTTATCCGCCCGGAATCACTCATTTATCAATACAAATAAAACAATCATGTATTAAAAAGCGCAGCAAGCGCCCATTAGTACCTGCGGGGATCCCGCTCCGCCGCCACCGCCTCCGCCGCCACCGCCGCCGCCGCCGCCTCCGCCGCCGCCGGCCCAGTCCAGCACCTCGAAGGCCTGCGCGTCGCCGTCCACGGGCGCCGTGTGTGCGTACACGCGCTCCAGCGCGGGCGCGTAGTCGCCGATGAAGCGCCGCGTCAGGAAACGCACCACCAGCGCTGCACGCAAACACGCACGTGAGGCTCTCCACGCGCAGTGCACCAAGGCTCGGTCGTCGCTCGCTGGCCATGTAGCGCAGCAAGTTTTTTTAATGTTACCCTTACTTCGCAAAAAAAGAAAGTATTGTAACTTTAATCGTTCAGTTATTTGCGTTATACTTGCCTTATACAAGCCTTTTAGCGTCTCGCCCTTACTTCGTAAAAATAAGTATTGTAATCGTACGGCGTTGTACTGTACCACGTCTTTTACTGTCGCGCCCTTACTTCGTAAAAAGAGAAAGTATTGTAATCGTACGGCGTTGTTCTGCACTACGTCCTGTATATACAATTCAAGTATACAAATCACTTCGTGTTTCACTACGGTCAGTAGTAGCTGATGAGGTCAGACGACAGAATTATGTTTACGTTGATACTTTTTCACAGATTTATCTGAACTCTTGAGCATCGCCTCACTTTATCACTAGAGCTAAAAATTAAATTCTAGCACGCAATGCATGCTCGGAAAGAACCGCATTTACTACTCGCGTTTTAAAAAAATACCTATAATATAAATATTAAAGAATAGAACGATATATTGTCAAAAAGGAGTATGCTAATTTTCTTGAATAAGCCGCCCGATAACACACTCAACGAATACACTCTTCAGAACTCATTTGGGAGCGTTCGTATTTGGATCTTAAACACCTTATTCTGAGGTGGGTGGAGGCCGTAGCCCGAGTGAATATCCGGCAAGAGTTGAAACCACATTCTTTTTGTATTTTCCCTTAATTTTAATTCTTAGTAGATTGTATTAATTTACTACGTCCGATGATGAAAAGGGAATAACTGAATGACTAAAATTTCTTTATATTTACTACTTGCATAGACATTTTTAACATTAAAAAAATAGTTTCAAGTGTCGGCGAAATATTCAGCTAGTTAGAATATATTATATTTGCATGAATTGTTTTGATATTGGTATTTAATATGAAATGAAGCAAGCGATATAAACAAGAGTCCCCAATCCCACAAAAGTGAGTCCAGTTAATCTTTCCACAGTATATATAGAGGTGATAAGGGAAGGATAATCTGCTATCTTATCACTAGGATTCAATATAATACAGCTGCTCATTTCTCACAGTTACGATCTTCGATATTGTGCTAAACACAGAGACAATTATATAACATAGAGTTTGACGAAAATGGAAGCAAATTCACTTTTTATATCGTCGTTTGACACATGAGAGGAGAAAATGTAAAGGAAAAAAAAAAGAACTGGTTTTGGAGAAATAATTGTTTAAAAATTGTCTATATTTCACACAAAATTACGCGCAGACGACTCATATTTTCGAAAAAACGTACAGGACCGTATTTAAAGATCAGTCTTTGGACAACAGATTTCATTGAGGAAAAAATATTTATCATTAATGTTGGAGATGTAGAAAGACGGCGGAATGTTTTTTAACTTTTCAAAAAATCAGGATTTTAATTGAAAATGAGACTCCCGACATTTTAAACGGTATGTACGCTATTTGAGAGCAAAGTTTAATAAAAAAAATTGGAGCCTTTTTGAAAAATTTTGAAAATGTTGAAGCCTTGTATAAAGTACCGCCATAAGTCGTAATTTTACCTCTTATCTAGCAATAGAAATTGAGCAGACATTTAACAGAATCAACTTGATTACACTTACTATTTGAACTTAATGATCTTCACTTTATTACCGACGATTTTTTTTCACATGACGGGCTAGGCGCGGATTATTCATACGTGGTGAGTTCCATATGTATTTGACCTCAATAACTTGTATTTTTAATAGAAAGAATAAAATAAGAAGCTTTTCAACGTAATCGTCCTTTAATCTAACTCACTTTTAACATTAGTTTACTAACATTTCTAGGCATTTGAATAAGTACTGCGAAGTTTTATTCGCAAAATGGTAAAAAACTCCTACTTCATCTCACACTCTTCAGCAAACTTTTCTGAAGGTTTTTCTTCAGTTTTAATGAGAGGTAGAAGTCGCTGGTTGCTCATTCTGGACTATAGTATAAATGATCCAACTCCTTCAAGCTATAGTCCTTGCAACATGAGTTGGAAGGATAAGTGTAATGTCGTGAAGAAGCTAATCACCGTGAGATTTCACTATCCGCATCCAACTCGAGTACCTCTCTCCTCAAACCTACATGAGATGTCGGGAGCACTACAACAATTAAAGATAAGACTTTAAACTGCTCAGAAGGTTATCTCGCTGACTAGCGGTATCTTGGTCAGGCCGGAAACTTATAGACCCGCCCACGTAATCCCATCAGCGCGCCGGGTCGCGAGTGAGTTCGGTTCAGCGCGTCCTCGGCGGCCGGCAACGCGGGATGAAGGCCCCTTTGCGGTGAAGGGGCCTCGCACGAACGAAGGGCAGATTCAATCGCACCTGTCACCGCGGAAACAGACGACGAGCGACGCAACAGGGCGGCGTCGGCGGCGCCAGCTCGTCAAAAGGCGTCGTCATGGGAACAGGCGCAACTGTCAACCCGCATCTGACGCCACGACGCACCATGCCGAGCGCCGCCGCCGCCGCCGAAGGCCAGCTGCCCACAGCGAGGGAGGTGGCGGGTGGGGGAAGGAGAAGTTGACAGAGTTGGATACGCAACATAATGAAGCTGGAAACGCTCGGAAGGCAAACGGAAAGATAGGGAGATTCGGGGCCAGTGACAAGATTCGATGGACAGAGAACATTACACGATGATGATGCGGGTAGAAGTAGATAAACGTCTGCAGCAAGAACTACAGGAAAAAGAAGGAAAGGAAGAAAGAGAAAGAGAGAGAAAGAGTGAGAAAGGGAGAGAGGGAGAGAGAGGAAGGAGATAAGGATCAGAGTGAGGAGAGAGAGAGAGAGAGGAGAGAAACGAAGGTAAGACGAGAAGAGAGAGAAGAGAGGCAGAGAGAAGGAGAGAGAGGAAGAGAGAGAGAGAGGGAGAGGAGGGAGAAAAGAGTTAATTCACATAAAAATACATATTTATACCCACTGAGATCCTTGAACCAAAGGTCTTATTACGGCAATAGCCTGTAGATGGTTATCTCTTTTCTGTCTTCTCTACTGAGTATTGGAAGTAAATCACTTCCCAACGTTTGAAGGACATTACCAAAGGAAATATGAAGACTTTATGAACGCCACTTTGCATCATAGCTCATGTGCAAATAGGCAGCTCTTAAAAAAGAATGATTTCATTTCGTAGCAAAACTAGTCACATACGTTCTCGTATTATTTGTAACTTTTGCATTCTACGAATATTCAGAGTTCAATAAAAATGAAACTAGCTCCAGTTTTACAAGCGTGTTTTGCTCTATTCAAGAAAATTGACGCCACTTTTATATTTTTTATAAAATACCTTTGCTTCAAGAAACATTGCGGTACAATTATTGATTTTTAAAAAAAATATTGTACATGATCTTATTTAAGGATACATTTTTTAAAATTAGTATTTAAGGAAAGAAATTTCTATCATCTACATTGTTTTGCCGGGTCAATTTCTTGCAATTTCCGAAATTCCTGAGTTCATAAGAAATACGACCTGCTCCATTTTTATGAGAATTATTTACTACATTCTATAAAAAAATAATGAAAACATTTGGAACAGTTTTTGAGCTCATTTTATGCAAAATGTCACGAAAAGTTTACGTCACGTCATTTTTTCGAAAATTTTACGTGACCTTAATTAAAGATGTCTTTGGAGAACAGATTTCATTTAGGAAAAAAATCATCTTCAACATATCTTGTATAGAACGTTAAAAAAAACTTTTGTAATTTTCGAAAAATCAGAGTTGAGAGTGAGCCACTTTTCAAGCATATCTGGAAAAAATAATGGACATATTTGGAGCCATTTTTGAGAAAATTTATAAAATGTTGAGGCTTCATGAAAGAAACACCATAATCGAAATATTCATTTGAAATTTACGTGACCTCGAATTCAGACAGATCGGTCGAGGAATATCAATTTTGGAGAAAACCGTCTGAACGTTTACGCGCTAGCGTTGACTCCAAAGGACACACAGACAGAAGCATTGAGGAAGGACCTCCTTATCTGCATCAGAAGAACGGAAGGAATGAAGGAAGGACGGGCAGACACACGATTTGCAGTAAACAAATTTTTCGACATCAAGAACCCACAAAATGTTTATTTGGACTATACAACGATTTCCAGTAAGTAATTTACTATATTCGGGAACAAAATGTATCTACGATCAGAGCCGTTCAATGCGAGTCGTTCTGACAAAAATCATACTTTTCTGTTTAACATTCCAATACTTAATATTTACTACATAAGTATGCAATATGCTAAAAAGTAAAAATAAATTCGTAATGATGTAAAAATAAATTCGTAATAAAACGAACATCAAAGAAGACGCGTTCATTCCGAAATAAATGTACTTTTATAAGCTCATTTTTATGAAATAATTCAGTCCATGGTGAGAATCATTAAGTCATGAAAATGACAACAAGGAATGGAGAAGAAAGAGAGAAAGAAGAGTTTACGTTAAAATAATAATAATAATAATGAGAGGTAAGAAATACATTGGGGGTTGCCTAATCTCAGAGTAAGCAAATTCGTATCATCACATACATGCGGAAAAAGTAGTGTGTATACACTCAGGAAATAATAGCATATGCACTTTAGAAATTAACAATATATAAGTGAAAATAGGATATTTACTAAAGAATTGACGTCAATATTCATTCTACAATTTATATTTTTTATTTATATATTTCTAGTAAATTGATTTCATCTGAACAAATATATTTAATTTATTTATTATATTTGACTATTCATCGAAAATATATTTTGGATATTATTTTTTGTCATCTCAATCTCTAATTTTATACTTTGTTAATCAAAGAAGTATTTGGAATGTAACTTCAATTTATTTACAAAGATGTTTCAGCTGTTTTAAATGCGCTAATAAACTATACAACGATGAACACAAGCTGGTTTACGCCTTTGCACAAATCAAACTGCGAGACAGCAGCCT